TTACGCCTCTTAGCTCGAGATTCGGAAGGTGTTTGCGGCTTACTCAATCTATACATTCTAATCGCGAGTTGGGTCATTCCGGTCCTCCGTGCGTCGCCCTGCGGTTCTTTAGTTTGAAGTGCTGAACCCGCGACAGTGATAATATACGCGTCTGGCCTTGCTTTTGCCACGGTGCACAGCTCACGTCGACCTATCGCGCCCATGATAGATCGAGAGTCGCACTTACCCATGATGCGCCCCGTGTTGGACCAAAATTCTCGCATCCTTTCGTATTCCTCGCCCCTCGGGAGGGCCTTGGATCGAGGCCCCTCAGAACAACAGCGCAAACATATTTCTGGGCTGTCCTCTTCTTCCAGCGGTGAACGAAAACATAGATCTGAGTCGTCCAGTAGGACGAGTAGTCTACCAAACAGTCTTTCTAAACCTCCCCCAGCATTTCTCATGTAGCAATAGATAATTGTATCAATATTTTACCGTTGGATTGAATTTGCAGTCGGGAGAAGGGCACTGTGCTTGAAGGGATCAATACGGTATAGTCGCCGCTAACTTTCTTCGCCCTCAGCTCGTAAGCCTTCTGTTCTGATACGGGCAATTGTGCAAAGGCTGCGCGCGCGACTTGTGCACGAAACCCAGCCTTGGCGACTTTGTTCGAGTCTCCAGCGGCCGCCCGCTCGGATTCTCCCGCAGCCCATTTTTCTGTCACCAGGTTGCCTTGCAAAGACTCCCTACTCATCCCGACGAACTTGGTTCGAGGGTGGAAACAGCAACGTCCAACCCATGGAATCATGTACAATTGGTCAAACCTGGTCTATATCGCCAGTACCATTAAATCACCTTATCCGATTCCTATGGCCTCAACCGATCTTCTGAATGTTGCTCAGCCTGACTCCCTGAATGATGAAACGGCCACATCCCCTTCCCACCCCTCCATTGATTCTAATACCGCCGCTCGTCTCCTTTTGTCGCATATTCACCATCTCGGTTTTTTCAGCCCACTGGACACGAAGCGACAGTTGACGAAGACTTGTTCAATAAGGATACAATTTGTGTCTTTCCAATTCCATTGGGCTTGGACTTATCGACCACTGCCGTGGAGGCCTGTCTCGCGGACCGCGCCGGTATACACCTTCCTTCCTTCCTTCCTGCTTTTGATGCGGAAAATGTGGCCTTGTACCGAGTATAATCCGTGCATGGTGGTCTGAGCTTACTAATACTATCGAAGGGGTACCTTTGCAAAAGTCGGTACCTTTGCAAAAAATTGGTCTATCGTTCGCAATTTTGAGTCAAATGCCTTGAGATAAAGATGATATGTTTATATGTCCTAGATGAGCCTTCCTATGTGGTTTCTGGAGCTGACGACGTGGATGGGAGTCCAAAGGAAAATCAAGAGTCGATTTTTGATGGAATCCATCAGAAATGATGGTCTGCCCATCATTTTTGCAAAGGTGGCGTTTTGAGGTTTTTGACTCGGCAACCTCATGGCTTCCTCTACAGACCACCAATATGCCTGAAAATATTCAAGTGAGGGATTCATATATATGGCTCCATAGATCCCAAAATTTGCAGGAATCCGAGGTGAGACGCTCACACAAGATGCCCATCAAATATATTTTGCAAAGGTACCCCTTCGATAGTACATGCATTCAGTTTATTTAAAACGACTCATGCGAACGATTGTCAACTGGATACTTGCCGAGGTAGTCACCTCTTCATTGGGCCGCATTGACCTGACCCATGTTTAGGACGACAATCTCGCTACCATCCTACGGGATTACTTGGCCAAGCAAAGAATTCTCCCTGGCGTTTGCACTGCGTCTGACGCCCCTTCTTGGCCATCTCCGAATAGCCCCAGCAACTCTGAACAACGGCGGAGATCATGTTGCGGCCAGACGAGCGTTATTAAACAGATATGCTGCAGTGGCGCGGTAAACTACAGACTAAGACCATTTCAGGGCATCATATTTCGGTTGCATGTATAAGTCTCACGCATACAGATTCAATTGATTTCGTTTTCCCTCTCCTACTGGAGTGAAGTGGCAGTACCTCTTGTGTATTTTACATTGATCAATACACATAAGTTAATAAGGAAGGAAGTGTACTTGTATTATAGCGGTTTTAATAGAATGAGAGAGAAAGTGCAAAAATAAACAAACAAGGCCTATAATGTATATTAATCTTGCCCCGTGCCGCAGACTGGCTGCTGAATGTCCACTTTGACGCCGGTTGCGGCTTCCAACAACTGTTTTGCCTCTACCCCCGGTAGCCTCGTGTACGGGAAGCAGAGGATCTGACCCGGACCGCGTGAAGGTGAGGGCGAGACGGTCGGGCTGGGATCCGCTGGGAGTGGCGTGGCCCCACAGTGTCGCCAGACTACGCCGGCGGCTGGAAAGGGTGGCGCGTCAGCGGCATCTGTGTCGTACAAGAACCGTTGCTTCAGGGAAAAAAGATTCAGGGAAATCACAGATGAAATGAACGGCGTTTCCGATTCTAGGTTAAATTAGTGAGAAAGAGGTTGAACATGAAAATATAGACATACTGTGAACCCATTGCGTTTTGTTGTTTACAATAAACCCGACCGCTAACACCTTGGTCCAGTCGCCAGCCGCACCGGCCTCGAAGGCGACCTGCATCTCCCCAAGGACTTTGTGCTCCCATTCCCACCCACCCTCTCCTCTCCGGACATGGATTATCTGCCCAGTAAGGTCGAGTAAGGGCGCAGAGGTAGATGGGTGCAAGCCACGGAGCTTCTCCGGTGTCCACGTCGTGCAAAAGACGCGTCGGATGACGTGGACAAGCTCGTGTAGGATGGTGATGGTGAGAATAGCACCTAAGATGTGCGGGTGCTGGGAAGATGGGAGACTATCCAACCAAGTGTCGAAAATCGCTGACGATAATCGAATTGTCATCTTCTCCGTCTTCTTCTCGTCCACGGACTTCCCCATCCACTCCAAAGGACACTGGGTGCGCGCGTAAACGCCAAGCGGTAGGTCGGTCTGGATGAAGTCGGGGAATTGACTCTGAAGATATTGGACGACGCGATGGCGCAAGGAGGCAGAGGGCGAGCCCCCTGCCTCGTCGGCGAACGACGCCATGCTTGCAATAATACTTTCTCCCCGAGGCGTGTCCAATAATGAACGGCGTAACTCTTCAATAAACTCCCATTTTGAATCTCCTGGGCCGAGCTCCACGGTGTTGATAGGGCCGTCAATGGTGAGGCCGAAGCTGAGTGACATGGCTCGCAGAGAGTGAGCAAGTGTAGGGATGCGGCGAGTGGTGGTAACGGAGATGGAAGAGGAAAGAGGGTTGCCTGCGAACAGCAGCGGGTGTTGAGGTGGACAGGAGTTCCGCGACACCGCCACACTTTGCTTTGCACGCTCTGAAACCAGTGTCGCTTTATTTCGCCTCTGGAAGACTCGAGACTACCCAGCATAGAGGTTAATTTCTCAGACTTGACCAGTGATGCATGGCCTAAACGGCTCATGTTGGCGACGTGAGTGTTTTTATTTCATTTTTTCCTGGCTTCCTGGGTCATTTGTCAGTCAGCGACGGGACTCTCAGCACTGAGGCTCTGCTGCGTGCCATTTTCATGAACCATCTGGCTTATTCAGAAGCGAGCCGGTTAGCGAAGGTTAAAGACCTTGAAAATGCTTATACTCAACTTGATGCTGAAATGAGACGATATGTTAAGTTTACTTTTTTCGCCGACTCTTTGTTGGCTCGTCGCCTTCTTTCCCCTTCGCTGCCGGGATCTTCGAGTGGGGAATCTTTCGATTGGACCCGTCACGGAACTGCGAAAGATCTTTTTTGAGATTCTCCTCCTCATCCTGGTCGCCGTCGCCCTCGTTCCGCGTGCGTCGGAAGAAATCGTCGACTGTCAGGCGTGTGCATGAAATCGCCTCTTGCTCCTCGTCTCGATGAGCGACCTCAGATACAGAGTTAGTTTGAGCGCGAACGAGAGCAGAAAAATCACACCTGGGGACATCCTTAAAGTTGGTATACATATAGTGCTGAGCGACTTCTTGGTGCATCCCTTCGCCAGTGCGAGCCGTGGCGTTCCGGAGGTATTTTACCGTTGGATTGCGGGGCTGCGTGCTTTCATCGTTGCCGTGAGGGGGCGCGGGAGAACCGTACAGGCCGGTGTGCCGTCGGAGGAGGGCCGAGACGTCCCTTCGCGATCGCACGACAAATTGCTTGAAATTAAATTGGCGGGGCTGGAGTTGGCCGCACCAGCTTTGGCATGGATTTGCAGCAGCTCGTGTTGTCATTAGGGGAGCTCAAAGTAAACCTTCGCCGGACGCTTTTTTTCGCTTTTTCGCCGGAACGCTTTTTCTCATGTCAAAGTTTCGTGATCTAGAGCAGTCACATCGAAAACCATCAAAAGTGCCTCGTCATCGCCGACAACGTCCAAACAGCATTGCTCGTCGTGTCCCCCGACGTGAGCACTCAAAATTTTCGTCCGATTCTCTTCAATTCCAAGGCCGGCTCATAGTATGGCGTCATTGCGACTTTTGGCTGCTTCCATTGCGACATACACCTCCAACGTCGGTCCAGCCCTCAAATAGTTGGTACCCGACGTTGCGTGATGCACCCGCAAGCGTCGCGCTCACCATTGCCCGGAGTCATCAATGTTTCGGTCGTAGGTGATTGATGAGTGATGTGACCACTTGAAATTGACGTGAGAGAAAAGCGTTCCGGCAAAAAAGCGAAAAAGCGTCCGGCGAAGTCTACTTTGAGCTCCCCTATTCTGCGGCTTTGTCATAGAACTCTTCCCGCCATGCATGACGGGCCGCCTTTTTTTCGGCGGCGACACGCTGGGCGCGCGGTTTCGGGACTAAAGTCCATGAGGGCGAATTTAGTATCGGGTGCAAATTGGCCAAGCTACCGCTCTCCCACACTCGACCTCCCTATTCCCTTGAACAACCTCAAAAAGATCGTAACCAGGTCTAGCGCAGCGTCCGACGCCGACCCATCAAGACCAAGCTCTGCCACACTATCGAAATGACACTTTGGCCGAGTGGTTAAGGCGATGCCCTGCTAAGGCATTGGGGTCTCCCCGCGTGTGTTCGAATCGCACAGGTGTCGATTGTTTTGTCGTTCTCATTATTTTGCGCCTTCCCTGTATTTTTTTGCCTCCTATCTTTGTTTTACCAATGCAGACGATTCCCTTTCGAAATGATCAACCTGTTCCTGCGCAGACGATTACATACAACGCGAAAGGTACCCAGCAGTACCCAACGCAACACCTTCCTGATTTGGACGCTAGCGTGTTTAGAATTGATGGGGCAAGCAAAGGCCTAATCATGGCACCTCCCCAACGGGTCCTTGTGTCATACTCTGGCGCACAGGCGTTTCTGTCTTCCGGGAGCTGGGACCAGATACACACCGCCCTTCTCGCACAACTTCCGTTGCGCAACATTCACTGGAAGTCCCCGTCTCGATCCATCAGAACAATCCAGGAACTCGATATTTCCCTCGTACCGCTCGAGTCTTTACGCGATGAGCACACGTCCCAGATACCGGCGACGCTTTTGGAGAAACCATTCCTCAACATGTACATCGTGACTTGCGAGGTAGCCGGGGCGAATATGTGCCGTCCGAAACGCGCATCTGACATTAGTACTCAGGACAGCGACTTGGAGACTTACAAGACCTCGATAAAGCGCCAAGTTAAAGAGTGGCACTCTGTAGTCGCGGCTCGAAAGAACCAAGAATGGCTTATACTCCACATCATCCGACCGGATTCACGGACTCAGAGTGGAAATTTCTTCCAGTTGAAGGGTTCTGTGCTGGACAAACTGAGAGGAGACTTTAACACAGACCGGCGCGACAGGTACGAATGCCTTTCCACAGCTCTTCATTTTGCTGACTTGACCAGATGTGTACAGCTCGCGTGGACCTCTGGATACGACAACCCTGCGTTATGGGCGGAATTTCTCAACAAGCTCAAGGACGGACTGTTGAACTCTTTCGATCTCGCCGTCTCGCAGAGAGAAGAGGAAGTGAAGCGGTCAGAGAGCCAGAGGCAAATGCCAGGGTGGAACTTTTGCACTTTTTTCATTCTCAAGGTAGCCAACTCTCGTCGCTCGCGCCGTTGTACAACCTAATTTTCTACTCGCTAGGAAAGTCTCGCCGGCTCGTTTCAGGGCGTTAACTTGTTTGAGGATGCCCTCTTGCAGTACGACGAATTGGAGGCTTCTTTCTATCAAGTGCTGAAAGAAAAGAATCTCTCCTGGTTCGGAACTCTCATTACTCCCAGTCCCAACGACGATTCTTGCCCCCTGCTATCTATATCTAAGAAGCCGTACCGGGATTTAATCCTTGCCAACACCATTTCCGTCTTCGATTTTCGAATATACCTTCTCGCTCGACAATGTGCACTGCTCGCTAACCTCGGACGGGTCAACGAAGTTGGCAGAAAAGCTGCCGCCTTTCTCGGTGCTTTTGGTCGTCGCTTGTCTGAAGTCGAGGTTTGTCGTTTGCTTGCGGCTTCATCACAATACTAAATATTTCTAGGAGACTATTCCTGAATTCTTTGTGGAATCGTGGACGTATTCTTCGGCGCTCAGCGTCGTGGATCAATGTGACACTTGGGCCGCCACTCTGAGTCTTCAAGGCACCATGCTTAGCACCTTCAATGCGGGCAAAGGCGAATTGTTAGAACTGGCTCGAAATCAGGTACCCAGTCCCGACTATTACGCAGACCTTCGCTCATTGATTAAAGTTGGATATCATTGGCATCAAAGTCGGACATCTTCCTGCTCGTCCTCCTTTTTCTAACTCCTCCCGGCCGCCTTCGTCGTCTGGCTCGGCTGCATCGGACAAGAAAATATCTAGCTCGGACATCTTGGAGTGCATTCAGACTAGAGATACATTCTTCGAGACATATGTGGGAATAACAAATCGAGCGATCGATATGTACGCCAAAGCTGGCCGGCGAAAATTTGCCCTGAAGCTACACGGAAGCCTTGCAGCTCTGGATGTGTAGGTTGGCCTCACAGTCGCCTCTTCAATTGGCTGATCATGGTCACAAGGCACCGTGGACGACTTGCGGCGGCCTTGACGACGTATACATCCCTCCCGGCGCACTACGCACCACATATGTGGACTTCTCTGGAGTCGTTGATGTTGTCCCTGGCCTTGGACACACATGCGGAGCTTGATAAAACCAAGGATCGAGAGTGGATCCACATTCTTCTCTCATTTCTCAAGACCTACGTCGAAACTGTGGGTCTGGATTTACTCATGCACGAGGAAGATAGCGTGGAGTATATTTCCCGTCTAGTGCAAGCGATGAGGGACTCAGCCACTATGCTTGAGGCCGGTTCGAAGACTGTCTTGTTACGGCACGCGCACTACTAACTGGGGTCGTTAGATTTGTCGCATCCAGAACATCCGGCGATATCAATACGAGTCTCATCGACGGCAAAACTAGCCGGCGACAAAGATGGCTCCTTCCTCGACGTGGTGATACACAACCACCTTCCATGTGTAATGCTGCTTTTGTTCATCCCGTCGTTCACTTATCATAACCCAGACCGTCCCTATCGACGAAATAATTGCAATATTGTCTGGGCGAGACTCGGAACGGCTGAGATTTGCGGCACACAGTGATCCCATTCCTCCGGGAAAGACTGCAGCAACGTTGTTCTGTCCAGTACGTATCATTTTTCGTTGACGCTTATCTTACTAACACCCCGGGTGTAGACTTCGTCTGCCGGTACATATATCCTCGACAGTACAGAGGCTCGGATGTCCCATCTTGTTTTCCAGTGGATGCACCGCAAGAATGCCCCTGGCCGAAAACCTTTCAGTCGTCGAAATGGCTTCTCGTTGGTGCGAATACCCCGGGACCTTTTAGCCATGGATGTTCGTCTCCAGCAGCCAAACCTTAGTGAGTGACGGATCATGACCGTCCGATTGCATCTGACGAAGTGGATAGTTGAACTCGGGAAACCACCATCGCTCCTTGTCGCAGTTTCCACAGGAAGGAACCGTGTTGCCAAAGCGTCCATCAAATTCCATGTACCCTCTGTAACCTTTCGGTATCAACAAGTCACTCTTACCGATGGTAATGGTTCTGACCCATCTCTCATCCCCCAACTGAATCTTTTCCAAGGGAAAAATGAAACAGACACTCTCGAGGCTGACGACGCTTGTGTTTCCCTCCGGGATCTCCCAGAAGCTGGCCATATAGAATTTTTGATTCCATACTCTGATGCTTCAGCATTCCATGCGATAGTATGTTCGTCCTTTAACTACTTGTTCCTAGAGCTGATTCGTCTTGTAGAAAGTTGATGTCGAAGTGGAGTATGTGACAGTCGCGGAGCCCGATATCACTCGAACGCTGCACCTGGCGCGGGTTGTAGCGACTACACTCCCTATTTCCGTCAATGTTCAAGACTTCTTCCGTGGAAATCGGTCAGCGTCGCCGGGTTTCCCTCGTATCAGTGGCTGATATTCGAATAGGCTCTTCTCTAAGTTTACTATTTCGACTACGAGTCATCAGCATGTTCGCATATCGGCTGCACAGTTGCAGATTCCTGACGGCGGATTGGATGGTCTTAAAGTAGTAGCATGCTCGCCGCAGGCACGGAGCGTTGTGGTGAGTTTGTCCAGTGCTTGAAACCTTGTGCAATGACAACTCTGGGTTTAGACAGTCACACCGGCGCAACCTGCCAATTTCTTGTTCTATCTTGATTCCGTGAATGGCCCAGGTTCGTTCTCAAGTTTCTCTTATTCCTGTCCTTATATCGCGGACAGTGGGGGAGTCTCTTAAATTTCGCATCAGCTATCGCATGTTGCGCGAAGGTGAATATTTCGAGATCCTCATGACAAACCGTCTCAAAGCCTGCTCTAGAGGTGGAAGCATTGATCGAGACTTCGGTTGAGGAAGTTTTGTCAAGTTCGGCGGCTCTGCTTGCCGAAAGAGTCAGCCTTGTCAACAGACTCGTAGAAGCACTGGAGCAAGATAGCGCATGGGTAGAGATGTACGGAGTATCCGGCGAACTCAATGTTCCCGAGGCGTTCGGTGAGCTCGGGGAGGCCGACGAGCCTCTTAGCCGGGTGATAAAGGTCTGTATCTCAATGTGGTCTCCGGTTTTTTCGCTGACGTCTCGATTAGCTTTTGCATGAACACAAACATCCTCATCCACCTCAAGGGCAATGGCGAGAAATTAAGATCCCTGTTGATGTGCCTTACATGAACGTTAGTTGTTTTCTCAGCCACCCGTTTACTTAGTCTGACGATGTCCAAGATTATTGCTGCCGCATGCATTCGCCTAGTGCCTCCCACAACTCCCGCTGCGATATCTTCGGACCATACTCCGTCACTTTACGCTGGCCAACCGATACCTGCGATCCTTACCGTTCACACATCATTCCATTGGGGCTCCAGCGTCAATGACAAAGAACGTGCATATATGATGCGCTTCGATGTCGAGGAAATGGTGCGCGAGTGGTTGGTAAGTGGGAGGAAACGAGGGGATTTTGCAGCCAAGGTAACTTTACCCTTTTTTGTCGGAACCCTGGGCTAATTTAACCTAGGACAACGCTACCTATAGTGTGCCCATCACGCTGATTGCGCTCCATCACGGAGAGCTCGTACTTCCAAAAGTCACTGTTACTGCTCTGCCTCTGGCCGGGGAAGTAACAATGGGCTCGATGGCTATCCCGAGCACTGAAACATACCAAGTTCACGGCGCAGAAAAGGTTCTGGTGCTGCCCCGCGGGGGCAGAAGTACATTTGTGTTAGGGATGGGCTCGGGATAGTAAAATGTGCACTGTTAAATTAAATCAAATTATTGGATGCCGCCAGGGTAGCCAGTCCATATTCCCGCCAGTAGGAGGGCGTTTGCTACGAGGAGAACCGTGGAGGACAAAAATGTGGAGGGGAACACATTCCATGAGTATTCGATTCCGGCAATGAGGGCAATTCTACGAAAGGTCAGCGAAAGGCTGAAGAGCGAGTTCGATGGCTCACTTAGCGAGGACGGGGTATCGTGTCCTCCAAGCCAAGAAGGGAAGTTGCTGCGCATACCAAGAGTAGAATTGGTAATGAAGCGAGCGTGCAAATATGATGCCTA